CAAATTCCACATTTATACAACTACACAAACCGATAGTTGATGATAAGAATAATACTTCGCAGTCCATCTTACAACACTTGTTCAAAGCTAAAATCAAAAAAACAAGAAACTAAATCATGTTTTAATGTATTGACAGAAAAGAACGAAGCTTTGAACAAGTGTTGTAAGATGGACTGCGAAGTATTATTCTTATCATCAATTATCGGTTTGTGTAGTTGTATGAATGTGGAATTTGTCTGGAGGTTTCATTTTGTATGAATAAGAGTATAAAAAATTCGTACATTGTACTCAGCACTTGTTCAAACTCTTTGTCGTCAAAGCCTTATTCTTTCAATATCATTCGATCTCCATTATTTATTTTTGTCTTTGCATCTGATATGAGGTATCATATAGCAAATAACATGTGGTTTTATAAAAAACTTAATGAGCAAACTTTTCCAACATGAGTCATACGATGAATGTTTTAAGCGATACTTTCAATAATGTTAAAACTAAGTGTTGAAATATCGAAAAAATATTTATCTTTTCATTCTGATCTTCAAATTTTCTTTACAGATAATGACAGAGTTTTCATAATGTTTTGATGCATTTATAAAAATTATTCTAAAGCTTTACAGACTAAAGATTTTTTGATTTTAGTTCTTCAACCGACTAGTTTTGCATTTTTATTTTGTTCATCTCCAGAGTATCCTTACAATCAAACAAATAAAAATGTATACATAACTATTTGATTACTTTTAAAAGATTAACAAACTCACAGAAAAAAAAATATGAAAATCAGAGCATTCATTGGTCCGTGGTCTGTTGTGTCCCGGACCAGATCAGATGATCGCTTCTGGTCCGTTTATTTGGTGCAAACCAGGAAAAAGATGCGGACCAAAGCCCTCATTAAAATGTCTTTTTCAAGAGTGTTATCTTTTAAAAATGTCATATTTAACTTGTTTCTTTGAAGAATAATGATAAACTGATTCATTGTGCATCACTTACGTTTTTCTTGCACTCTGTTTGAATAGTGATAAAATTATAAAGAATTTCTTGTAATCATTTTTCCGGAAAATTGCAAATGAATTTTTTTCTTTCATGTCATTTTTAAAAAATGTTTTCTACAAATATTGAACTTCTTTCTTGAACTTCAAGAAAGTCGAAGAAACTATTCGAAGGGAAAACTGCAAAAATATGAAGATTTATTTGTATGAAGATTTTACATTTTTCATTTTCCTGAGCATTCTTTATGAAAGAGTGTGCGAAATTAAATTTCTAGAAATCTAAATTTGAGTTGAGAATTACTTCTTCTGCGGACATGTTATGATGTATGATAATGATGTTCGCAATGATCTCCTCTGTCTATATGAATAAAGTGATGATACTGAAAAATAAAAAGAAGCACATTTAATAGCATTCTCATGATACGTTTTGCAATTTCATTATCCAACAAGCGAAATTTTAGTATATAAGTGAGACTCAATTTCGATATGAGTCAGTTGTCTTTTGAATTTCAAGAGAAATACTTTTCTTAGCGAAGAGTTTGTAGGAAAATGTGGACATTTTTAATCTTTTTTGGTGCTTTTTGTACATTATTTTTTGCACAATTTATTGAAGCAAATAAAATATGTGAAATAATAACTCCAGGTAATTATATCATAGTTTTGCAAACAATATTTCCGGTATGCATAGAGAGTATGCAAAAATCATCGATTCTATTTATTTATATGCTTTAGTT